TATATATTGACCAAACTCAAATGAACTCAACTAGCAACTGACAACTTTTTTTATTCTTTCAGATGGCTGTTTCCATTCATTGGCCACATGGGCATCTGCACCTCCTCTGGAGTGATCCGTGATTTTGCAGGTCCATACTTTGTCTCAGTAAGTACATGTACATGCATTATTATAATCGAGCTAAAATAGGTTATGGCGTATTCAAGCTACAGTCTTCATCTGTCTGTCCAAAAATTCATGAGACCGTGCACGATTGGTTATTTAAAGGGTTAAATGCACGTTGCACGTCACCTCTGTCTTTCAGAGCAAGCACACACTGAGAAATTCGTCACTCAGACGGTTTGCCCTCAAAATGTAAGAAGAACCTATATTAAACCTTTATTTAAGCATCGTTGAGTATCACTGAACATCTTTTGCAGCAGCTTTTCACAGTGGAGAGACAACTCATGCTCACGGTTGCCAGATTGCATGAACTGTGTAACACTGGGAATGTTTCCAAACCGTGCAGGTTTAAATCAACCATTGGATGGTTTGGATCTCTTTCAATCTGGCAACAATGAGCTTGTTAGAAGCCCATGGAGGCTTGTTACTGTGAGACGCCTGAGCTGTGTTATAAATGACCTGTGTAGACTGGGCTGGACTTTCCTCCTGTCTGACATCAACAATGTCAAACCTTTTGTTGACATAAAGGCTGGTTTCAGTTAAGAATGTTCCTCTAGATAAAGGTCTCTATAATTTGGTGCGAAGTTCTGTTCATAAGCAATGGATCTTTTTCTCTAGAAATAACTGGAAAGTTCAGCGTTCGCCACCAGCTTCCTCGGTGACCCTGTACGAGCTCATCCTGTTGTTTCCGGAAAAAAAAAAAAGCTATACCTGTGCAGAGCAGAGGAGGACGTGTGGTGAAAGCTAGCCCTCCGTCAGCTCTCTGCATGACTTATTGTTCTCAGCCGCTTCCAGAGTTCTGGGGATCTTCTTGTTAAAAATACATGGTAGTATCCACGAGTTCACAGTCAGGGCTCACAGTCAACTCTATCTCATAATGCACCTGGTATTAAATGGAGGATCCAAACGCTTGCTCGTAAGAATCCTGTACAAATTCAGACAAGCTGTTCAAACAAAAGCAAAGTTATCATGGTACGAAAGCTCCACAGCAGTTCTCTTCAGGTTCGGACATTATCCTTTAATCAGATCTCTGTCAGACAGGAGCAAAAGTGAAATGTGTTGGGTAGAGCAGGGCCGGTAACGTGAGAGGATGGGGTTATTTGACCTGCGGTGATACGGGCCAGCACACACTCAAGTGCACCACAATCGGCTGCACTTGACTCCGCTTGTGGCTGACAGGGACTGAAGCACGTCTCATGAGCAGGCCGATGTGGGTTGAGGTCAGTTCAGATTAAGGGTTTTGGGAAACCCTTGATAATAGACCTATATCTGCAGTGGATTATTATTAACATTTGCACTTGCAAAATGTTTGTGTTTTGGTGGTTGCTAAGGTGTTACTAGCGAGTTCTTACTGAGCCATGTAAAAAAAAAAATCAGATTAAAGGGATACTTCACCCCAAAAATGAACATGAAGTCATAATTTACTCAACTCCTTGTCATTCCAAACCTGTATGAGAGTTGATATTTTGAGAAATGTCTCAGTGTTGTTTTTTTTTTATTGGGGGGGGGGGGGGGGGGGAACAGGAAGTGAAGGAAACTTAACGACTAGTCATTGCGTATCACTTCAAGGTATAGTTCGCCCCAAATAATTAAAATTCAGACATCATTTACTCACCCTCGTGTCATTCCAAACATGTATGAAACCTAAACATAAAAGATGTTTTGAAGAATGTTGGTAACCAAACTGTTTGGGTTCCCATTGACTTACATTGTATTTATTTTTTTATTTTTATTTTTTTTGTCCATACATCTGTTTGGTTACCAGCATTCTTCAAAATATCAAAGATAGCATTATAAAAGATTTAAAAAAGAAACATGTACATGGATCAGTCATTTACAATAAGATCTATAATATGGATTTAAAAAATAGATTTTAAATAAGCCGTCCTTAAAGGGGTATTTCAGAAAAATGTTGGTAACAAAATAGTTGCCGGTAGCCATCGACTTCCAAAAATACTGCGGAAGTCAGTGGCTACCAGCAAATGTTTGGTTACCAGCATTCTTCAAAATGTCTTCTTTTGAGTTCTGCAGACGAAAGAAAGTCATACAGGTTTGGAATGACATGAGGCCGAGTAAATTATGACAGAATTTTCATTGTTGGGTGAACTTTCCCTTTAAGTAGTTTGTTTTCCAGTTTATATAATATACTTAATAGAATATACATATTATTGAGAAGCAACGCTGCATAAGACTGCATTCACTTAATGCCCTGGCATTAAGATTTTATTGAACTTGTTTTTTATCTAATTTTAAGTGTAAACAAGTGAAAAAAAAACATGGTATCTATGTGTAAAATGTATCCTATGAATTCTGACAAAAAATATTTTGCAAGCAATATTTTTGTATTGTATTATCGTAGATGTTGTTTAATTTTGTAGTGCTCTTTAAAGCGTGAAATAGGCTTGCGAGTACTGAAGCAGAGTTTGTCACAGCTACTGTTGAAGGCACTTGTGTGTGTTCTTGTGCTGTCATCATGATGTCAACTGCAGCGCTACAGTCATTAGTCACATGACCTGGCAGCAGCACTGAGCCACCGTGAGCAAAGATGGCCGATTTCAGTGCACATACTTACCTCCGTGAAGTTGGCCCCCCACCCAACGCAAAACGTCGGCAAAATAGTCTCAATCGTTTGTGCTGGTTTGTGCTTTAAAAAATGTATTTTGTGCTGCTTTGGTTTTTTAGATATTAAAATAATATTTATTGCTCATTTTCTGAGGTCACTCAACCCCCCACATGCTTCAAAATGACCCCAAATAGTCTCGTTTGTTTGTGCTGGTTTGTGCAGGTAAAAGTTTCGTTTGTGCTGCTTCGGTTTTTAAAATATTAGACATTGAATCATAGGCGATGACGTCGCTCAGCCCCCCACATGCTCCAAATTCACGAAAAATGGTCTTGTTTGTTTGTGCTTCGTTTGTGCTGTAAAAAAATTTGTTTGTGCTGCTTAGGTTTTTAAGATATTAAAATAATATGTAATGTCCATTTTCAGAGGTCACTCAGCCCCCCACATGCTTCAAAATGACCCCAACTAGTCTCGTTTGTTTGTGCTTCGTTTGTGCTGGTAATATTTTCGTTTTCGCTACTCGTTTTTAAAGGTTTTTTCCTAGTCAACAGATTAGTCAACGCTGATGGCCATCTCCACAGTAGGCTAATGTACGTGCCTTTAATAGAGAAACGCACCTTTTCATATGGACCACAATTAGAGAAGATTTTATTATTTTTTTAATTGGTTTGTATATATATATATATTCACATGTCAGGTTTTACAGGTGACATCTGTAATTTAATTTAAGTTTGCATATGTGTTTTATGTTTTGTATCATATTTGATAAATCAGGCTTTTATGGCTCATATAGTGTGATATAGTGAGAATATGGAGCTCATACTCGAGGAGGAATAAAAACACCTCAGTTTTATTCAGAGGCCCAAACTGAGGAAAAATACGCAATTTGTTGCAGTTGCTGATGTTTATATGGCCAAAAATGATGAAATTCTGATAGTTTGTGATGTAAATCAATGAGATCTTTATAACAGTATAACAGACTACTTACAGAAAATGCATAGCCTATAATAAATATCAGTTCTCACTCTATATCTCCCAATAATATGTCTTAGTAAGATGATATTTAAATGCTTAGTTTTATGATCAGAGATCTGTAGTTTGTATTGTGGGGGCAAAACAAATAATGCAATGCGATACCGTGATGACTGACAGAAATATAAATAAATGTTCCTCTGGGCCTGATCATATTTCAAAATAAAAGCCTGTATCATATTTAATATTCACAGTTTAACATGATTTATTTTCTTCAAAAAGTATGTATGGATAATCAGTTAAACCTAAGTCGCTATGTTCCAGTAGGCGTTCATCTTGAAATATTAACAATATAAAAGTTATTCTTACATTTACTTTATAAAAGTAAAGATTTCACTGCAAAAATACATGTGAACCATGACCTGAAAGTGAATGTTTGTACAATTATACTAAAATGCCTTTTACTTGCTAAAAAGTATAAACTATCAATCAGATGACAGAAGGCATGTAGTAGATTGTGTTCAATTTTATTAAAGGTGCAAAAAGTCATAAACAAAAATCTAAAAAATTTGATCAATATTTTGATCGAATATCGAAAAACTAAAATCTAAAAAAGCTATATTATACTTTTTCGGGCAGCATTTTGTGTACGGTTCTAATTTCAAATCTGGTTTTCAGGATGGCATTTAAAAATACAACAACCCTTCTTTTTTATTTTTTTTCGTCATGGTTAAAAAAGGCTATTGACCTGGAAACAGTAGGCTATTGCATGTTTTATTTGTGCGCAGAAACAAAAATAGGCCTATGTATATCAAGTCTTTATTTTTTTTTTTTGTAAAGACAAGATGATATTTAAATGCTTAGTTTTATGATCAGAGATCTGTAGTTTGTATTGTGGGGGCAAAACAAATAATGCAATGCAATACCGTGATGATTGACAGAAATATAAATAAATGTTCCTCTGGGCCTGATCATATTTCAAAATAAAAGCCTGTATCATATTTAATATTCACAGTTTAACATGATTTATTTTCTTCAAAAAGTATGTATGGATAATCAGTTAAACCTAAGTCGCTATGTTCCAGTAGGCGTTCATCTTGAAATATTAACAATATAAAAGTTATTCTTACATTTACTTTATAAAAGTAAAGATTTCACTGCAAAAATACATGTGAACCATGACCTGAAAGTGAATGTTTGTACAATTATACTAAAATGCCTTTTACTTGCTAAAAAGTATAAACTATCAATCAGATGACAGAAGGCATGTAGTAGATTGTGTTCAATGGGTTTTGGCTATTGACCTGGAAACAGTAGGCTATTGCATGTTTTATTTGTGCGCAGAAACAAAAATAGGCCTATGTATATCAAGTCTTTATTTTATTTTTTTGTAAAGACAATGAAATAGGCCTAGTTTTTTTTTTCAGTTTAATTGGTCTAATTGAACGAATATGGCTACTAACAATTAAGTGACTGCGACTATTTCATGTGATTTGGTTTGCCTGGGTTTTTCAGATCAGGTCTGGATAGTGTTGATCATTTAGAGGCTGTAGAAGTTTGCGTATCAAATGTGATACACCAGGCTTTATATGGTTAATGTCCTCCAACAGTGGTTATAAAATAAATGACTTTGCCTGTTGAACTGCAGTGTGTGCTTTTCATGATACATGTGCTTCTCACTCACTGCATATGTGCTTGCTGCGGTATTAATCTGCTTTATTCCCAGGTACTGGATGTTAGATGTAAGTAAAGTGTATGCCAGTGGATCTAACACGTGGGACACAGCAGTTCACAACGCATCAGAAGAGTACAAACAGAGAATGGTAATGTGTGTTTCTTCCCTATTTTGCTTGTAGAAAACAGTGTTTTCACGTACAGTTATGAACTGCATTTAGAAAATCAAAACATTAAATGTTTTTAAAATATGATGTTAATTTCCCAGAATTAAAAATATATGTATATATATTTCTATGAGCATGCATACAGATAAACTGCTTATATTCAAAGACTATAGAATACCCAAGACGTGTCACTCGTATAGTTTTGAATGGGGAAAGACAGTAAAAACAAAAATACTGGTACAAACCAGCACAAACAAACAAGACTATTGGGGTAAATTTGGAGCATGTGTGGGGGCTGATTGATCTCAAAATGATCATTAAATATTATTTTAATATCTAAAAAACCGAAGCAGCACAAACGAAACTTTTACCTGCACAAACCAGCACAAACGAAGCACAAACAAACGAGACTATTTGGGGTGAATTTGGAGTATGGGTAAAGTCAGCGTGTCACTGCAGCTGCCGTTAGAAGTCCTGGTTGCTATAGAAACAGTCAGCATCCTGGAGACGTGCGCTTAGGACTGCACATCCGCATTGGCTGGTCTAGCCTGAAAAATATGCTTTTGTTAATGCTATTGGACCATAAGAAACAACATTTATGAAACAGTTGTTGTCAGATTTGATTGGTGATTTCAAATTGAATCGTAAGCTTGGTGAACAGTTTTGGAGAATTTGATGTTTCCCCATTCAGATAGGAGCTGCACTTGCATGCCCCAATGAACATTTTTACAGCACAAACCAGCACAAACGATTGAGACTATTTTGCCGACGTTTTGCGTTGGGTGGGGGGCCAACTTCACGGAGGTCACATACTTGAGATGAGTGACAGCTTATGGATAGCTGCAGGTAACATAGGCCACCCAGGCTTATTGGCTCCCACAGAGAGAGGTGTTTATTCACAATGATATCTGTCAGGAAAGAGGGATATGTTATGAATGAATTGTTTAAAAAAAAAAATCACATTGTACACATACAGAGTTTAAGTGTCTGTTTCTCTGCTCTTGCAGGAGGACAACATGGCGTTTGGAAGACCAACGAAGTGAGTCAGTGCTGTGGTTTTGTGTTGATCAGCATGATCAAAATAAAGCGATGCCACAGTGTTTACTTCAATGAATGACTTACTTATAGCAAGTCTCTATATTAAGCTGGGGTACTAGAAAGTATGCGATTGTCAATTAAATTACAGATGTCACTTTTAACCTGTAAAACCT